ACCAAAAGCAGATTCAGTAACTGTAAGTAAATTATTTTTTAAATGTTTTGCTTAATGTTAAAAAAAACTTGTAAAACCCTAAACGCGCCTTATCCCCCAGAACAACTACATTGAACCTGTTCAAGTTCTCTTCAGTTTTTCACCAAAAACAAATGCTTTTGGCGACAATTTTTTGTTTTATTTTTGCTTCACCGCATTTGCATCGCCGCTTATCGCGATTTCTCTCCATCCATCGACCGTCCTTCTGGTCGTTTTCCAGCGATTCACGTCGATAATTTTCACTCAATTAGCTTTTACTTTTACTCGATTTGTTTCGGGATTCATTTCCACCCGAGGCTAATTGACGTCGAATTGGGTTGAACAAGCTTTTGTTGTTATCGAGTTGTTGTTGATTTTAAGGAGGAGAAGGGGGGGGATGGATAGTATTAAGTTGGGATCAGAACACTGTGTTACAGCTCAACTGGGGCTTATAGGGTATGTGACGATCTATAGTGCTGTATACAGGGCCGGCTGCGAGTAGGGGAGGGGGGGGGGACGGGGATCAAAAAAAAATTTTTCGAAAAAAGTTGAACGTGGTCCCCCCTGTGGAGTTTTGGAAAAAATTTTTTTGACTCCCCCCTCCCAGACCAAAAGTCCCCGTCCGGCCCTGGCTATATACACATCATTATTTCGTGAAGTTAAATCTAATAGGAAAGGAGGGGGGACTCCGAATAGACCTATTTTGCTGGGGAGGAGAACTAAAAAATTTTTAGATTTACCACGCCCAACTTTGAAATTTTTTGTTGAACCACCTAAAAGTCTAAAATAACCTCCAATGACTTCTCAACTATTCCTAAGACCGACCCGTTTTGTCATTTGACCAAATTTTTTAATTGTCCCGTTGGGACCATATGACTCTAAATCAACTGCACTATTATGGTCCTTAAATCATTTTGAGGAAAAACTTTTGCTAACTGTTTTATGACCATATGAACTTCTTTTCGAGTAGTTTGGAACAGCGATCAATGGTTTTTAATGGTTTTTTAAGGTTTTTAAGTTTATGTTTAGAGTTTGAAAGGGGGGGGGGAAAGAGGAGGGGTGGCCTTTTAGGGGGGGGGGAGGCACTCCCTGAAAAAAAATTTTGAAAAAAGTTATACGTGGTCCTCCCTGTGGATTTTCGACCTCCGCTTCCATACTAAAAGTCCCCGCCCGGCCCTGTGTGGGAGGGAAGGTGGGGTAGATGTAATTTTTTTTTAAAATTTTTAATATTTAATTTTTTCATATGTTAAAACTACTTTTAAGCCTAAAACCCCTTTAAAAACTACAAAACGGTCGTTTACAAAGCGGTGTACCTCATTCCTTTCGCCAAAGACAGGCCTTGTTGAGCTGAAAGAGGGGGGGGCGCGAAACCGGGCACATTAAAGCTGGCTTTTGTTGAATGTCCAGGCATTCGGAGGGAAAGAAGCCATCGGTTTTGTCCGCCGCGTTTTTTAAAACTGATTTTTTTTTCTTTTGGCGACTTTTTGATCAACGGCCGCATCAAAAGATTTGCATTTTTGTCGATTTTTCACTGTGAGAGGAGTGTAATAAATAAATATACACGAGAGGGGGGGGGGTGTTAAAGAAATTAGGTTTATGTTTTATGTGGCAGAGGGCAATCTTTGTTTAGGGAGATGAGATCAGGGGGGGGGGGGGGTGGTTTTGGCCTAAAATGAACCCCCCAGAAAAAAAAATTTCGAAAAATTGAACAGGATCAATTCCCCCTCCCACGCCCGAAAAAAAAATTTTTTACTTTTACCCCCAAATCAAAAGTGCCCGGCCCTGGCTCTATCCTACCCTATTGTACTATACCTTACCCTACCCGTGTTACTCTATCACATCTTATCTTACTATAACCTACTTTACCCTACCATACCCTACCCTACCCCTCCCTACCCTACCTTATACTACCCTACTTTACCTTACCCTTACCTACTTTACTCTTTGACCAATACGTCTTGTTATTCCTCCCTGTCATCCTTTATCACGTACAACAATCGGGCTCCACGATTCCCTGTTGTGAGGCGATTTTCATGCACCCGACCGACTTTTTTGTCGGTTTTTGTTGTGTGGGGTAACCTTGGAGACGAAACCATATTCGAGTTGAAATAGGCTCCGATCCCAGGTATTTTTATTGGTGTTCCGCGCAGTGGATTAGGCTTAATTGTTTTTGGCTGACGGGTAGGATAAGATAGGTTTGGAGGTTTATGGAGGAAGTTGGGTTGGTCAAAATAGCTAGAAAGCCTTAGCTAAAGGGGTTTTTTTAATTTACCTTCTCATTAGTGCCGGGCGGGGTATTTTTATACTGGAGAGATGTACGGACAAAATTTTTTTGGCTATATTCCTTAAAGGAACAGGGGGGGGAGAAGTAATTTTTTTTAAATTCGACTTTTTTCAAAAACTTTGATTTGTCATCAAAAACAAATTAAAATGTACTACTTATCATAACATCAATATTTAATTTCTGTTTTAAATTATGGCTCATAAGGTCAATCGTTATCAATATCATTGCTTTTCGGTAGGAAAATTTTTTAAAAAGGTAAAAAAACTTGTAGAAAAAAATTTTTGAGGTCTATAAATTAGGCTTAGGCTTAGGCTTAGGCTTAGGCTTAGACTTAGGCTTTTGCTTAGGCTTAGGCTAAAGCTTTATGTTAAGTTTTGAGTTAGACTTGGCCCGGGGCTTAAGCTAAGGATTTGAATTAAGCATTTGCTTAGGCTTAAACCTAGGCTTAAGCTAAAATATTAAGCTTTGAATTACACATGGCCTGGGGCTTAAGCTTAGGCTTTATGTTAAGTTTTGCCTTAGACATGGCCCAGGGCTTGTTTTTAGACCTACACTTAAGCTTATACTAATGTAGAGGAAAGGTTAGAGCAGTACCACCTACTTTTGCACAACTTAACACTTGTGAATCATATTAACCCTATTTAAATACATCTTCGGCTCCAAACCGTTACTTTTTTGTGACCGTCTTTGTTTACCTTTCATGTGGTTGAGGGTCATTTTTGGGCATTGGAACGCGCATAACCTGGCATTCTTAATACGTTCGCATTGTGTATTTTGGGTTTTATTCAGATTTCTTTGCTTTTGACGAAAAAATAAAGGAAAACGGTTTTTAAGACTGTCTTCGGGGAACGGTGAAGGTTTCTGTGAAAAATGGCAGTTTTGGCTTCCAGTTTTGTAAAAAAAGAACTATTATGGTTTGATGCTTGCGGGTAACAAATTATAAATAAGATTTTTTAGTTGTAAAGAAAGTTTTTGTCATTTCTTGTTTTGGAAAAAAAGTTTTTAACATTTTTTGTTTTGTAAAGAAAGTTTTTGCCATTTTTGATTTGGAAAGAAATTTTTTTCTTTTGTAAAGAAAGTTCTTGTCATTTCTTGCTTCGGAAAGGAAGTTTTTGTCATTTCTTGTCTTGGAAAGTGAGTCTTTAACATTTTTTGCTTTTTAAAGAAAATTTTTGTCATTTCCTGTTTTGGAAAGAAAGTTTTTGCCATTTAAAAATTTTTCTGAGTGAATTGTAACTTTAAGCCTAAAAATAAGCCTAAAACTTAAATTATCTACAAATTCTAGCCCTTTCATCAAGATTATTTTTTCGCAATAAAATTTGCATAAAGGTTATTAAAAAGCCTAACCTTTGTCAACCTTCATAATAAAAGTCCATCCCGATCAGCACTCCATAACCTTTTTCGGACCTTTGCCTTTTTCGGTTTACATCTCGTAAACTGGTTTATCACTTTTTGAGGGCATTTTTTGGAGTTTGTAGTGGAATTGAGAATGTTTAAAATAAAAAAAATTAAAGCCTTTTTTTCATTTTTTGAATGTAAAGACGGTTTCTGTGTTTTGGGGCAAAGAGCAATAGGTTTGCTTCTGCGCAGCCTGCGGGTGACATGTTATACGATGGTCATCACGAACGATGCATTTTAGTGTCTTGTAAAGCATTTTTGTGTCATTTTTTGTTTTGTAAAGAAAGTTTTTGCCATTTTTGTTTTGTATGAAAAGTTTTTAGCGTTTTATATTTTGTAAAGAAAGTTATTACATTTTTTTATCTTGAAAGAAATGTGTTGCCATTTTTACATAGACAAAGGTTCACTCATGCGTATTTTACAAAAAAACTGTCTTTTTTCTGAAAAATCTACCTAAACCCTATTTTTTCCTTGTAAAGGCATCCCCCCCCTCTTTTGCATAAAACCGCACAAAGGTCAAAGTCTCGGGTTTTGGCAGCGCGATCCTCCACTCGAGCGCTTCGTCACTAATGAGCTGCGCCCAAAATCGCCCAATTTCCCAGCCGAAAAAATAAAAGTTCCGACTTATTATTCAGATTTTCCGAGAAAGTTTTGGACTCTTTTAAAGGGGGGGGGGAGTTTAGAGAGCTACTTGTTGAATAAACAAAGTTTGGTTATTTTTAGGTAACAAAAAATATTTTTTTTAAATTTTGATTTTTTAGGTAAAAAAAACATTAAAACTTCATGTTATCGTATTTAAAATTAACATTTTTTAGTATACATAAGAAATGGCATTTTTGAAATTCCAAAATTAAATTTTTCAAAATTGACCGCCTTTTTAAACCTAATTTGGCGATTGTTTTTGCAGGAAATTTGAATAAATTTGTGAGTCAAGAATTCGGAAATGAAGCTCGGCGCAAAACTTGTGGCCATGCTTAAGGACGCTATTTAGGAAATTGTCAAGCTGTACTTGAGTTTGCAAAAATTAAGTGGAATTTAGAGGGATTTCTGGGAATTTATGCACGAAATCTTGGGTTTAGAATTTTTTTTTTTATTTTATTTTACATTTTCATTTTTACTTCAAAATCTTTCATTTGACATTATTTTCCTGTATTTCGATAAAAAATGTGACACTTCGTTCTTTTTTTGGCACTTCGTCTAAAATCTTCTGATCTTTCCCGCTTTTCCGCCAAATTCGGCAAAAATCAAGAAAACTTGTCAAACAATATTATATTTTACTAAAAAATATGATTTTCAGGCCATGCCACTACCAAATGGACAGCAACCATTGCGGATTCCTCAACCACCTTCTCACAGTCGACAAAACTCAGCGCTCGGCCAGCGTTATCGACATTGTGCTACGCCGTCGACGTCTTCCCTGAGCTCAGTCACAACATTTCCAGCTGTGCCAGTTCAACAACCTTCTGTTTCATCTTTACCTGTGTATACGAGTGAACCAGGACGACGAGTATATCCGTCTACGCAATCTACATCGACGTTACCCACAAGACGCAATGAATTTGGTGCGAATCGAACGAACTTGGAGCGAATGAGGTATGGATTTTGGTTTTAAATGTTGTAGGGATATTTTAGATACTATGGTGTCTTAGTATTTATGTATTAATGCTTGATTTTCGGAAAAGTTTGAGGGAAAGTTATGTTATAGTAGGTAGATGTCACGGAAATTGATGTTAGACTTGTCTTTTTTGTCGGAGATTTGTGAAATTTTTAAAGGATGATGAAGATACTAATACGTAGCTGTTCAGATTAAAAAATTACGAAAAAATAAATTATTTTTAGGGCTAAGGATTAAATTTATATTACACTACGTACAAATGAAAAGAGTTGCTGTAACTTTTCTATTTTTCGCTATAATTCGTTGAATTTTTGTACGAACGTTACACATACAATGTGAAATACGCTTAGCAAGTTTTATAAAATTCTAGCCAGTTTGCTCGAAGTTATGGATTAAAGTTACATTATTGTAGGTGGACAAATTAAAAGTTACTGCTAAATTATTTTTTAAAATATTTTTTATTGAAATCGGGCAAAATATTTATAAAGAGCTAGTTTAACCGTGCTAAAGGTTTCGTAACGTCAATAATATTATAGCTGCAGATACGACAATTTCAAGTTTATCAGTTAGCTGATGAATCGTTTGATAATCACAAAATGAATCAAACTCTTTGGATAGTCGTTTATTTACAGCAAGTTTCCGGCGCTGCGAGCTTGTAAAATTATATTTTTATGGTGAATGCAAATTTCTTTACTGTTTTGCTGGCGAAAATTAGGTATATTTGAGATGGAATATACGATTTCTCGAATATTTTTAGTGTTTTTGTTATGGTTTTTGTATTTTTGAAAAGTGCAAGTAATATATGTAGTTGTATGGGTATATATATGATAGAGGGTCATTTTTTGGTCAGCTTTACGGATGTTGGGGAGGTTTTTATATTGTTTTAGATGGAAATTCATTAAAATTTCAGTATCCTTGATAGTTACATAATATTTTTAGTTACAACGACTTGATGGATCTTGCCAAACGTCAACAGCTACAATTACAAGCAAAACAAGTAGAGTACGAAGACCGACGAAAACAACAAGCCGATTTCGCTCAAGCCAAAGCCAATGGTATGAATGTGGCAGAAGAAGTTAATAATTTGAGACAGCAAATTCGAATCGACGAAGCTCAACTTCAACGTCAAGCGAATGCCAGAAGAGAAGTTGAGGATCTGGTACGACAAAATGAAATGGCCAGAGGGCAGTTGAAACGACTGGAAAATCAGTACGATGCTACAGATCAGTACATACGACAAGCAACTTCAAAAGTTCACACCCTGAGGCAACAAATGGATCAGTTGCAGGCTCGACGTGCTGCCGCGGCTAATGCGGCCATTGCACAACAGCGGCTATTGAATGTACAGAAGGGTGAAGGAATTTATGGACAAAGGAACGAGAATGACGGAATTTATGGACACAGCAGTTATGGTCAGAGAAGTGACAGTAATGCCAGTTATGGTCCAAGAACAGAAAATGACGCAATTTATGGACAAATCAAGAAGAATCAAGTTCGGCCACAAGCTCAAGTTGGCCCATATCAAATTGCTCAATCAAGGCCGGTTAATGAAAAACCACCTCCACCTTCGTATGATCAAGTTGATGCTGGAGGGTAGGGTTTTTATTTTTTTTGTGTTTAGTGTATAAAATTTTGGTTAAGATATTAATATTGATGTTTTAGGTACCACAACATAGAAAAGTCTCATTATCAGCCGATCGGACGCAGAATTGCGCACGCCCCAACTCCATCGTACAACGAAAACCCATGGGTACTACGAGCACCAGCTGTGGACAATTTCAGCATTAGAAGCGACTCGCTAAAAGCGGCCAAACGCCGCTCATGGGCTCACGTTGATCCACCTCATCAACAGAAATTCGACGACATTTATGGCACAAACTCGGCCAATTATTCTGTGTTAAAGAAGATAGTCGAGGAGCAGAAGAAGGGCAAACGACAATACTCATTGGCTTCGATTTTTGGCCGCAAAAAGCCGGAAAAGAAGGGCAAAAACGACAAAAAAGAGATTTCTAAGCCTGTTATTGCAAAAAATGAAGCAAATTCGGCTGAAAATGAAGGTGTAGTAAGACCTGAGAATGAAGAAGTGAGAGTACGAACTCCACAGATGATACCACGTGAAATTGTGGGCATGACAAGCTTAAAATCGACCAAATCTGGCGATAAATCCGCCGAGAATCGTCTGAAGTTTGATCAAAATCAACAAAAATTGGAGGAAAATCAAAGAATCTTGAACTTGAAGGCTCAAAATTCGTTGAGAAGTAATGTTAGCCAAGACCGAGGAACTCCAACTTTGATGAGATTTGATAATCGGCCAGAAGAACGAAAACCAGAAGGCCGAAAATTGTGGGATAACGAAGAAAAGCATGGTAAAACGGGCGGTTTTAGCCAAACTGGACTATCTTTCCCAGCCTTAGCTTCAAAAACCGACAACTTGGTATCAGAAAAACTTGATCAAGTGGCACAAAAAGGACTAGAAGGCCAAGTTGGAACTAAAAGAACAGAAAATATTGGTCAAAATTCTTCGGAATTTCAACAAAACTTCCAAACAAAAGCTCTAAAATCAGCGATAAAAGTGGAAACAGAGTTGGCTCCTATAGTAGTAGCTGAACCAGACTCTGACAAGGAATTTGAAGCTGAACCAAGTCCGGTTTCTACTCAATCCAGCCAGTCTAGTCCACCAGAACCGCCACGAATGAGCAGCGGTGATGAGGAGTTTGAGAAGAAAGATGGAAAGACTGGATTGAAATGTGACGAAATTGTGTCAGATGAAGAAGGAAAGAAAGGTGAAGGTGTTGAGAAGATTGAAGAAGAGAATCAAGTTGAAGATGAACAGGATAAACGACGATTGGATTCTGTTTCTCCACCTGAAGACCCGAAAATTGAGAAAAACGAGGAAAATTTGAAGAAAAACGAAGGTATTTTGGTGAAAAATGAGGGAAAATCAATGAAAGAGGGTTCAGAAGGCTACGAAAGTACAGCAGAAGCTAATAAGAATACAGTAGATTCATACAAAGCAAATGTAGACTCTACAGAATCAGAAACATCGTCAGAAGACTATGAAGAAGACACCGTTCACTCACCAAAAGTTGTGATAGAAACTTTGACTACGGATGAAGCTGCGATGCGACAAGCGACGAATGAAATCATCGAACAGATGCAGAAGTTGACGTACGAACAGCCAAAGAGCATCATGATCAACGATGACGACGATAACAACATGTATCAAATGGAAATGCAAAGTTCGACCGAAGAGATCAGTTCGAACGATGAGAGTGTCTCTACTAGTGATGAACTTCCAGAGGTGGGTATTTTTTGTTTTGAAGCGATTTATGCTACTAATGATACTGGATTTTTTTTTAAATTTTGTTTTTTTAGTTTGACGAAATAACTCGCCCAAAAGATGTCAAAGGAATTTTAAAACAACACTCGGAAAATGGAAAGCCAAAAAAGAAGATGGTATTCGATCCATTGGTACTGTTCTTGGACGCAGCACTAGAAGGTGATATGGATTTGGTAAAGGAAAAAGCCGCGGAAATTGATGACATTTCTCGTGGAAGCGATGAGGGAATCACAGCTTTGCACAATGCAATTTGTGCATCTCATATTGAAGTCATCCGATACTTGGTTGCTAGTCATGCTGATGTTAATGCACAGGTAAAAATTTGGTTTTTTGATACATAAAATGAGGGTTTAGTGGTACTTTTGTTACCTAAAATGACGTTTTTTAATTAAAAATTTGGATTTTCATACCTAAAGTAGTAATCTCGAGGTTTGAAATGGTCTTTTTGTAACCTGAAATAGTACTTTTGGTACCTAAAATTGTACTTTTGGGACCTAAAATTGTATTTTTGTTATTCATAATGTTATTTTAAAATTATTCAGGACGCCGATGGCTGGACTCCACTGCACTGTGCAGCTTCATGTAACAACTTTCCGATCGCCAAAATGTTGATCGAAAATGGAGCTTGTGTGTTTGCCATTTCGCTGAGTGATGGTGAAACTCCATCGGACAAGTTCGAGGAAAGCATTGAAGGCTATGGTGGATGTGCGGACTTTTTGGCCATTGTGGAAAAATGCATGGGCGTTATCAATGGAGGAAAGGTGAGAACAATATTATAAATTGAAAATTTTGGCAGTAAAATGACTTTTTTGGATGTTTTTACAATTTTTTTGGCTTTTGCACCGTGCAAATTTTTATAAAATTAGGTAAAAATATTTTGTATTTTAGGTATATACAGCCTACTCATACGAAGCCTACAACGACGACGAACTCTCTTTTGAAGCTGGTGAAGAATTGAAAGTACTGAACAAAGATACGGGAGAGAAAAATCATTTCCAGTACCAAAGAATGTACTATCAAACACCAGATCCATCTCTATTCGAAGACTCGCTGTGGTGGTTATGTGAGAACAAGAAAGGCGAAAAAGGACTGGTACCACGCAATTTCCTCGGACTTTTCCCAATTTGGAAGTTTGTCGAACCGTTGAACTTTAAACCTTTCAATTTACCGTCGAATGAACTGGCTTTAAACGAGGTTCTGAAGGATCATGAGGACGCTAGAAGGTCATCATCGTCTACCTTGGATCCAAATGATGCTACGAACAGTACGACATCGAGAAACGACGATCAGAATAGCCAAACATCAACTTCGTCGCTGGAAGAAGCGGAATCACCACCCCCATTGCCGCAGCCTGAATTTGATCAGCCTTCTCAGATCAGGGCGAATGCTTAGGGATTTTGAAGGCAGGACTGGATTCTGAAAGCATAGCTATTAGTGCTTAAGGATTCTGAAGTTATGCCTAATTTTAAAGGATTCTGAAGCATTAGGCCAAAAGAACTATGTTAAGGTTATAATGTTAATACTAGGTCTTGGGGGACTCTTTAAAACAGATTTTTCTAAGTATAATGGTTGTTTTAATACTATAATAGGCATTTTATCGTCTTTTTTGATGTCCATTACAAGATTTTTGATGTTTATTTTAAGGTTTTTGATGTCTTTTTACATTTTTCCTACTTTTTCAAATAATTTTAATATTTTTAGTGTGGTTTTTGATGTTTAACATGTAATTATTACCTAAATATGAGATAAAATTCTAAGTTTGAATTTTAGTGGTTTACTGTAATGCATACCGTATGTTTTTACAGTATACAATGAGTTATAGTTATATTCTTTACAATATTACAGTATATTATAGGTTATAGTAATATACTGTAAAATTTGACGTTTTTGAAATTTTTTAAGATTTTCGATTTGAAATTCGCTAGTAGTTTTGATTTCTTACCGTAGTTACTGATCTACATGAATGTGTACAGCAATTGCTCAAATATACGCCCAACAGTAATATATCCTTCCTTAAATGTCTCTAAATTTGCATTTTATAGTAAAGTTTCTGATTGTCATTACTATACTATGACATTGTCTATCTTACTATAGTAATGTCAACAATATTATGTTTGTATTCTACAATATTATGTTGTAGTGTAAATTGTCAAGTACCATATTACAGTAAGCAGTCTTATTATGGCCTGAATCCCAGATTTTTACTTCCAAACTCAGGTTTCGTATCCTTTCTTCACCATACAGAATACGTTATAATTTTATTTTTTATGATTAATATTGTCATGTATGAAATAAAGAAATTAAATTGATGTTTGGATAATTTTTTTGTGGTTTTATTACCTAATTTTATAAAAATTTCAAATTTTCCCTCAATGACTTTTCATTTCAAAGATTCAAAGAAAAGTCACGGAGACTATTAAGTATCTTTGTATTTTTAAAGTTTTTCCCCATATTTTGACTGTATTTGAAATCGACTCTTTGCACCATGCAAAACCGTAAAATTGACTGCACCGTGCAAAAAAATTATGAACGATTGCACGGTGCAAACAGCTCTTTTCAATAGCTTGCACGGTGCGGTTTTTAAAATATAAGGGACGAGCTAAATACATCGGATAGTCTAATCGAAAAAAAATCAGCGATTCCCTGGCTGAACACGAATTTTGGCTAAGATTTCAGCCAAAAACATGAGTTCTTTCGGTAATATTTTAGATTTTTTTTGAAAAGAATGTAGTTATTACCAGGGCAGCGGAAAATTTTTCGAAAAAATACACTGGTGTACTTGCAAGTACAGTGTGTTTGCGAAAGCTCCTAGTGGGAAAAATTTTTACTGATGTGTATGGGTTGCACCATAATTATTTGGCGTGCATCAAGTTTAATGCATTTTATAAAAATTCAAACAAATTGGCTCGGGTCTGCAGCCCTCGCGCAAGAAAATTTGAGTTTTGATTTTGTTTTTATTAGAATGATATTGGAATTGTTTTTGGTTGCAATTTTCAAGTTTTCGGTTGTTTTTGGTTGATTTTGGTTTTTCGTGTTTTAGGTAACATTGACCCAAGTCAATGAAATATATTGTAAAAAATTAGTTTGTTTTCCATTGTAAACGTTTACTGTTTTCTTTATATAATATTTATGATATTGAAATTGATTTTTGGCTGTTATTTTCGAGTTTTCCTTTAATTTGATTTGGTTTTTCGTGTTTTAGTCAACATATATTAACATTTATGAGATATATAGGTTTTAGATAGTTATATTCTTGTGGAAAATGTGTATTGTCTTGATTTAGGTTACAGTTATGGTATTTTTATAAAATTATTGTTCTATTGTACTCTTAGAAAAAAAATTTGCATATTCTTTAAAACTTTTCTTTTGTTTTTAGGAAATTAAAATGGTTTTCGAAAAGGTGAACGGTATCTTTTTTTTACTGTTATATGTGTGAAAAGATTTATCTTCATTTAAAATGGTTTATATAAATCGTATTTCAGGATCACGGGTATCGGTATTGGCCGGATTTCACGAAACTAATTCTCGTGGGGATCGCTACGGTGCGTTCTTTTTAGCTTTTGAGCACGATGGGGAGCGGGTACTTGTGCGGGATTACTGTCAGCTAAAAACAATTAATGGAAGAGAGATTCACAGTAAGTTGTTGTTTACAATAGTTAGGTTTTTTATAAAATTTTACATAATATTAGCCAATTCACACGTTTCTTTTCGGAACTTTACAATTATGATGTTTTATAGATTATTTTTTTGTTTTCAGTCAAGTTTGAATTAATTTTTTTTCAGTTAGTCTCAGCCGGGTTGGTGAAATCCCAGCACCTCCGCTGCAAGCAAACTACGTTGATTGCCAAGCAGTATTAATCAAAGTTTTGGATGCGGGAAAACGGTCGCTAAATGAAGACCTAACGCCTTTGCTGCTAAGCGTTGACTTGAATATGGAACGGCTTCGGGTAACCTATGGGCAAAGGGTATTCACAAACCAAGGAGTGATCAAAGCTTTGGACTTGCCAGACATGGTTGTCTTGACCAGACTGACTGTTGCTTTCGGTGGCAAAAGCTATCGGGTCGTGCCGATTTGGAGTTGGCAATACGACTACTTTTCAAGATATTGTACTTGATTATGGGTTCTGGGTATAAACTAACTACTGGTATTGTTTTTTTTTGGTTTAAAGTTAATGATATGATGCTATTATGTTGTGTTTGTTGTATCAGCTTTAATAAATGTTGTTGTTTTTTTTTGTTGTGGCTGTTTGAATTTTGTCTGCTCAATATTCTGTTACCTAGCATGTTTAACATTGTGGTTTTGTGTATAATGTGAAATTTGGCCATAGTTTGTGAAAAGCTGCATAAATTTGGTTTTTAGGTTTTAAATTGGGGTTTAGACTTCTATCTGGGTTTTAGGATAGTATAGTGATTTCGTTACCTAAACTTGTTTTTTTTGGCCAAAGTTTTTATTTTATGGAAACATGATTTTTAGCCAAAAACCATACTTCGTTGTCTGATATATCAGCCAAAAAATTTTTGTCTGATATTTCAGCCGAAAACAAGAGTTCTGTGGCTGATATGTCTGTCAAAAATTTTTGACTGACATATAAGGCAAAAAATGCGATTCCTTGTCTGTTATTTCAAGATTCAGCCAAAAATGCAATTCTTCGGCTGATACCTGCTCAGCCATGGAAGTGCTGTTTTATTTTCGACCAAATCATCCGATGTATTTAGCTCGTCCCTTATATACTGGTTATTTCTTCATTTTGAAAACCTTCACAATAATTGTTTATTTTTGAATCCATTATCACAATGTCACGAGATATGTGTGCAAATCGTACAATGCAAAAAATATGTTATTAATAATAAAAGAAAGAAATCGAGAACAATAAGATATATAGATTCGCACAATTTGATAAAAACAATGGTATTAATAATTGTAAATACAATATATATAATAATAGAACAATAATTTTAAAAAAAGTTGTAAAATGTTGATTAAAATAGCAAATTTTGTTACCAGCAGTACTAGTAGTACCGAAAATGAAAGTTTTTTAAAACGTATTTTAGCAATTTAGAATTATCTAAAAATTTAACATTTTGTTACTATTATAGCTGTCTGATACTATTAGTACGCACTGTTGGCAACAGTATTCACTGGTACTAAATTACATATTAAAATAATAACTAACAATAATAATATGAACTAACAACGTTAAAAATGACAAAACAAACAAAAATGGTTAAAAATGGTGGATAATATGAAGTTACCGGTTAATTTTATGTTAACATAACATTAGAAATCAAAAATTTTTTTAAATTTAAAAAAAAATTGAGATTACTGTATTTTTTGAACTGACTAGATTTTTATAATCGTGTGACTAGGACGAGATTGACGAGAAGTACAAAAACGTAACTTGAAATAGGATTTGTAAATCTTGCACGGTGTAGTTATTTGAAATTTTGCACCGTGCAAAATAATTAAATGGTTGCACGGTGCTTACTTTTAAAAAACCGTATAGGGCAATCATTTTAATAGCTTTTGAGATTAAATTAGCGTTATAAGATCGAATTGTAAATAGTATGAGATAAGAACGGACAAAAATTTTTAACAATTTTAAAAATGACAAAAAAATATCAAAAACCATAAGTACTACAGTAAAACATGAGCAATGACATTTCGAATATCAAGATGGACGTGTTTGAATGATGAAAGTATAGGATGCGAATCTTTGAGATCTTAAAAGTTTTGACGCGTAATTAGTGGCGACGAGGCCGAAATATCCGTTTCGTCCGGTTCCAAGTCGTTGGACGTTTGTGAAAGAGTACCACGTTTTTCTATTGCATGTTGGTGCACCAGACCGCCGTTTCCGGTTGGGGTGTTGTCCTGAAAATTGAGTTTTTGTACAAGTTTTGCTATTTTTATCAGTAGCTGAAATTAGTTTTTGTTATCTAAAAATGGCAAAAAGGTCATTTTTAGGTAACAAAAAAGGTCATAAAGTGTCTATGTTACCTAGAAAATAAAAAATTTTAATTTCTAAGCTTTAGTAAACAAGAATATGTTCTCTTTTTCAATTTTTTAAATATTTTTTACTCAAAAAATATTTTGCACCATGCATACCAATAAAAAAGAGACTGAACCGTGCAGCCAGCTTTTTATTCGCTTGCACGGTGCAATCCTTCTTTCAAACTTTTGCACGGTGCAGTCTATTATTTATACTTTTGCATGGTGCAACGAAATAAAAAAATCTTACCGAGCTCTTTTGCACATGCAGCACATGTTCAGGCATGGTAATTGCCGTAGCTTGGACGCTGTACCGTTTCGGATTTGGCGAGGCTAATTTTGGCTGATGGAAAGGCGGATGATTACTATTGGGCGGGTAGTTGTTGTAGGCCGAGCCTGGTGGACTAACATAATTTACAGTGTTCTGCGGAGACAAAGTTCCATTTTGAGGGGTTTGTTGTGTCATGATGACGTTTTGAAGATCACCGATGCGTTGAGTTAGAAGGTCGATCTGGGTTATGAATTGGTCTTGAGTACGATGCATTTCCCACAGGGTTTCGTGCATTTCATTGTGGAGCTGAAATTTGATAAAAGTTTAGTTTTAGGTAACAAAATATCAAAGAAATCGTTTTTGGGCAACAAAAAAATAACAAATGTTAAATTTTTGACTTTTAGGTAACAAAATATCGAAAAAACTTGGTTTTTTTTGAAAAAAAAGTCAAAAAAATTCTATTTTTAGGTAACAAATAGTCAAAAAATTGGCTTTTATGTCAGAAAATGCAGCAAAAAAGCCTCAAAAGCTGATGTTTAGGTAACAAAAATGATTTTTCTTACCTTTCCAATGTCCAGCAATGAGTTTCCTCGTTCCTGTAGCTTCCTCTGATCCCATTTGATCCTTCTGAACTCATTAATAGCATTCAAGAACTTTCTCTGATGTTGTCTCAATCTCAAATCATCTCCCTTGTTACTACTCCTCTGATATCGATGAATGAACCAAGTATGTTGTAGTACCGATGCTGCAGCATTCTTCCTCTGATTGGTTAGTTTCGAATCGGCCATAAAGTTATTCACATGTTTTTCAGCTCGCGACAACTCCAATTTCCTTGAGATCACGGCGATCAATGCCGAAGACACACCTGCACCAACGATACCAGTGAGAACGGCTAGTGCTCGGCCGACATATGTCCTCGGTACCACATCACCATAACCGATGGACAGGAATGTCACTATCACAAACCATAGACTGTTCATATAGTAGTGTTCGAACGGCCGATCCCATCGTTCACATTGAGTGAACGCCCATGAAGCACAGAGCCAGTAGATCATGGTGAACATAATCAATACCCTCAGGGGATGATCGGACATCATGGTCTTTACTACGAACCAAAAGTCCATGGAAATACGATTCAAAGCGGCAATAGATCGTGTAGCCGCATCTTGGAATTGTCGCGAATGTAGTACCATAAAGCGACAGAACAGGTATACTCGTAAGTACATGGGAATCGACATAATCACGTCCATTGGTACTGGTACAGAACTGACATGATGGTCCTCACGAACATAAGTCCAGTTGACTACGCCACTGCCAGGGAATGGACATACGATGCAAATTAGTATCTCGATACTCAGTTTTATCAACCGGTCGGTGCTCACAGCGACACGCCAATCATCTGCGCCACTATCGATTAGTGCTATTTTGACTTCGATTCGGTGATAGTTGATTATAGTGCCAATTAGTAGGACTGTTGATACCAAGGCTAGGGAACGGAGAGCTATTGAGGGGTAGTCGGTCTAAAAATGTTTTTTAATTTCAAAATTTAAATATCTCATATATAACGTTAAACCTAAAGCTAAGCCTAAATTTATTCTTAACGCCAATTTAAACCTAATAGCCCTCAAAGCCTGTAAAATATCAACCTACCTTGTCCACAATGTTGAGTGCAGTGATTTCCGTGTCAATTACAACCAGAATTAGGCCTAATAAGCCTAAAACCAATGAGAAATCACAACATTGATTCCGTTGTTGGAACAACTGTTTCCGTTGTCGACACCTCATTTTGGCTGTGGAGTCACTGCAAATAGCACAAGATTAATATACATATTATTTTTGGTTGAGCACTGCCTATAATACTTTAGATTGTTACCTAAACTACCTTAATATTCAAGTTTTTAAAATTTTTTATTACCTAAAACTACTTAAGCTACACAATTTTTAGTTTAAACCATAAGTATTAAAATTTAGAGTACCAGTTGTACCAGTAGTACCAAAAAGTACACCAAACCGCTTTTTTATATTAATACAACATGTTTCGTGTTAATATCAAAAATGTGTTTCAAAATTTAAATATTAACAGTACCAGTTCTACCAGTAGTACCAAAAAGTGCACCAGTTTTATAAATTTAAAATATTTCTACCTGTACGGTAATATAACTTCCGTTATTGTAAAAAAGCTACTAAATCGTATATAAAACAGTTTTTGACAAAATTTTTGATAAATAATTTATAATTTTTGTATTTTTCAAGGCTTGCCTGGCTACCAGTTGTCGAATCAAACGGAATAAAACGTTCCATGACGCCATTTTTGGACCTCAAAAAGATTAAAATTCAAAAATTTTTTGAAACACTTCCGTATCTCGTTACGATATGAGTTTAAAAAGCGTTACAGTAAGGCAAAGTCCATAGAACAAAAAATAATACAGTAATTTGAGGGTCTTTACAGTATGAGTATGTGTATTAGGTGCCGACATAAAGAACCCGCCATTTTTTACAAGAAATTACAAGAAAAGTATAACGAGTTCTTTATGTCGACACCTAATAAAAGATATTACAGTAAATTTATTGATTGTTACAGTATGAACTTTCTTATAAATGACAAAACTTAAGACTACATGACATTTAAGTATTTAACATTGACAAAAACTACCAAAGCTTACTTATTCACGAGTATGTCAAGGAAAAACTAATAACTTCCTTAACCAAATTAATTACACCTGACTGCATGGAATTCGAATATGGGAAAACTTGGGTTTTAGATAACAAAAACATAATTTTTCTTGTGAAAAGGTAGGTGTAAATACTCGACTTTTGTCATAACATTCATAGAAACACAGTAATTTTTAGGTAACAAGCAGGGCCGGGCGCGAGGGGGGGAGGGAGGGGGGGGACGAAGAGGGGGGGGGGTACCCCCCCAGGAAAAAAAATTTTAGAAAAAAGTTGTACGTGGTCCCCCCCCTGTGGATTTTCGGAAAAAAAATTTTCGCAAAAAATCGGCACAGGCACACTAACTGTGCCGATTTTTTGACCCCCCCCCCCCCCAGACCAAAAGTCACCGCCCGGCCCTGGTAACAAGTGGAAAAACAGTTAGCATTTTTAAAAATTTATAAAACGCTTGTCATTTTTTATTTGTAAGGAAAGTTTTTGCCATTTTGTTATTTGTAAAGAAAGTTTTTGCCATTTTTTGTTTTGTAAACAAAGTTTTTGCTAATTTGTGTTATGTGAAGAAAGTTCTTGCCATTTTTTGTTTTGTAAAGAAAGTTCTTGCCATTTTTTGCTTTGTAAACAAATTTCTATTCATTTTAATCCAAAATAAGCAAAACGTATTCTTTCGCAGCCTGCGGATGACATTTTATGCGATGAATCATATATTTTGCTGTGTAAACAAATTTTCTGCGTAAAAAACAAAAAAAATTTTAAAAAAACTTTGAAAATTTAAAAGACCACCCAAAATAAACTATTAAATTTTCAACGACCTTTTTTAGGCATAAAAATTGTCATAAAACCCATGTCTATAAACAATATGACCAATAAACTTATAACATTATCTGGGAAAAGCTTTAAAGTCGTAAATTTTATCTTTGATATCAAAAACAATTTTCAATTACAAGAAGTTAATATTAAAACAAAACTAAGCTAAGTATAAAAAGATATTATAAACCTAATCGACTTACAGCCTATGCCTAAAACCCATTAACTAGTTATAGTCATCACGTCTAAAACAATAAAGATAGAATTGACATACTGGTACATTATAGCAGGTAAAAAGTAAACCCCGCAGAAATAAAACAGTACGTAATATCGCTAAGCCTAAGAATAAGCCTAATCCTAAGCTTAATCCTCAGATCAAGCCCAAGAACAAGCGAAAGCCTGAGCTTCTGCTTAAACATAAGCTTAAAACCTGAGCCTAACAAATGCCGTATAAAAACAAAAAGTACCAGCTTTATATACTCATATAGTGCGGCAGATAAAAAGTTATACCTCGCAGACAAAAAGCGTTACGTAACACCGCTTATTTTTAAGCCTAAGCCAAAGCCTAAGCCTAGACTAAAGCATAAGCCGAAGCCTAAGCCTAAGCCTAAGCCTAGACTAAAGCATAAGCCGAAGCCTAAGCCTAAGCCTAAGCCTAAGCCTAAGCTTAAGCCTAAGCCTAAGCCTAAGTCTAAGCCTAAGCCTAAGCCTAAACCTAAGCTTTAACTTCAGCCTAACAAATGACGGATAAAAACGAAAAGTACCAGCTTTATATGCTCATATAGTGCAGCAGATAAAAAGGTATCCCTCGCGGAAAAAACATTGTGTGATAGCATTATTTTACTTAACCTTAGCCTAGATTAAACATATTAAGTCTGAGAACTTGCTAGTGTAAAAACAACAGTGCATTTGAAAACAAAAAAAAATCCCAAAACTTCAAAATTTAAACGAGCCCATACGTTTCAATTTATTTTTCAAAGTTTATTTTTCGCGGTTTATATCCGTGGGAATTTACTTTACTCAATAACCGTTTTTATGCGCGAGAAAGTTAATTATGACATTTTCAGACATTTTATAACAAAAAATAAGTTTTTATAAACCATTTTTAGTCACTTAAATTTTTTTAAATTTAAATTTTTTAATTTTACAGTAAATTTAAAACTTTTGTTACAGTACCCCAAAAATAGAAGCGAAAAAACAGGTACGAAGGCCTAAAAAGTTGTAAAGACAAAGCTTGCAAAATAAGGCTGAGAGCAATTATTTAACGCTCAGTAAATCCTTTAATGATATTCTCAAAATTTACGACCTAAGGCATTCGAATTGTCCATAAATTCCATTGATACCAAGTTGTAAATATTTCTTCAGAAAACAATAAAAACGAACTCAAGAGTGACAGAAAAGCTACCCTAAAGCCTAAGCCTAAACCAAAGCTTAAGCCTAAGCTAAGCCTAAGCTAAGCCTAAGCTAAGCCTAAGCTAAGCCTAAGCTAAGCCTAAGCTAAGCCTAAGCTAAGCCTAAGCTAAGCCTAAGCTAAGCCTAAGCTAAGCCTAAGCTAAGCCTAAGCTAAGCCTAAGCTAAGCCTAAGCTAAGCCTAAGCTAAGCCTAAGCTAAGCCTAAACTAAGCCTAAGCTAAGCCTAAACTAAGCCTAAGCTAAACCTAAGCTAAGCCTAAACTAAGTCTAAGCTAAGCCTAAGCAAAGCTTAAGTTTAAAACCCAAATTGAAACTTCCGAAAAGTTACAAAAAGATACAGAAAAGTCACGGTAAAGTATAACATTTTTAAAATAAGAGAAAATTTGCCCCAAGACGTGCCAAACAAGGCCTGTTTAAGTGATTATGACACAAAAGTGGAGGATATTATTGTCTATTTTTACAATGATGTTACAGCAAAACATAGCGTGATTACTTTTTCAGCTTGAATTTTTAAAAAGTAATGTTTTAAATGCCAAAAAATTGCAGAAATTTTGTTTCCGAACTTGAATTGGCAAAAACTTTGTTTACAAAACAAAAAATAGCAAAAACTTTATTTACAGAATAAAAAATAGAAAAAACATTGTTTACAAAATCTGAAATGGCAAAAACTTTGTTTACAAAGCAAAAAATGGTAAAAAATTTTTTACAGAACAAAAAATTGCAAAAACTTTCTTTACAGAACAAAAATGGCAAGAACTTTCTTTAGAAAACAAAAAATGACAAAACTTTGTTTACTAATACCTAAATTTAACAAATTACAAAATAAGCCACTGAAACCCACAAAAGACCCAAAGATACTACATGTTAACTACGTGCTATGAAGCAAAATTCAATAAATAACTTTGAAATAAAGTCAAACTGAGGCCGCGTTAGTGGTAAATCTAATTAAATATGGGCCCATTACACCTGTTACAAGTTGGAAACGACCCACAAATACCAACTTACTACTAATGGAATTTGCTGTAAACTTAAAAAATTATGAAATAAGACATTTGAATTTTACTACCTTATCTCTACCAGCCAAAAATTTTTTTAAAAGCAGCATTTTCACCCCCCCCTTTTTTTTGCCCACCCCCCCCGCAATATTACTACCCCACCTCACCTTAAACTTAAAAAATTCAACTTACAATAACATAAAGTTAGAGTTATACGATATACTGTAGATAGAGTAGGTCATTCTTAATATCACGTTGGATGAACGCCTCTATGTAATACTAATGCCTTATGGTAAGCATCTCATAAAATACTATTACAACTTTACATCCAAATACCTAATAGTTCATGTATAAAACGAATATAATATCTGACCTGCCAAATCTTTTCACAGAGAATATACGATGACATATTAATATGTTATCGTATTATAGAAACCCTATATTCCCACAAATCATGAATACTTAATGAATCTCAAATATGGTCTTGAACGGACATGTACTTTGATAGACAATATAATCGGCTTCCCCCCCCCCTACCCCCAATCCCAAATCATATCATTGTTATTGAATATATAAAAAAAAGGTGTTGTCATATAACTTGTCACCCGCAGGCTGCAAAATCGAAAATTTCAAAACTAATGCAAAAAATGATTAAAAACAGCACGTCTAGTACTATATCTTAATGTATGGTAACAAACATATAATGTAAAAAGTTTAAAAAAGCATGAAACTTTAAAAAACTAAAAATTATTAAACATTTCCCCTTTAGCACTGCTTATACCAATTGGACACGCAATTTGTTTCGTGTTTGTTATACATAATAACATTTAGTGTCTCGAATGTTCACATATGTTTTAAATTTTAACCTCTTATACCTTCAAAGATCGTTTTTTCATTTTACCTAGTTTTATAAATGTCATTTATTAAAAATTTGCAAACTTCTGTACGGGCAAATCAAAATTTTTCAAACTTATGTACGCGCGAATTTTAAATCTACAAACTAATGTACGCGCGAATTAGCTTAAATGCCATTTCTTATACCATACCTAAGTTTATATTGTAATAAAGGTTGTAAAATCCTTTCATTTTCAAATATCATCACTATCTTCAATTTTTGTAGAACTACAGTAATTTTTTTAAAATCGAAGAAAAGCAAAATATTAAAAAGTGTAGTAATAATCAATATATTGTAGTAGATCTTAAAATACAGTAGTAATGCTAAAAATAACAAAACCCACGTGTAAATCAACACGTGTACGTCAAGTTTGGCAAGTTCAAAAGATTCAAGAAAAGAAAGTTTCGAACATTTTTACTCGAAACCCCTTAGGGGGTCAAGTTTCGAGCATAAAACTTTAAATGTCGTCTACTTAAAAGCACTTTCTAGAAAAGTTTTGGATTTTTTGGCTGAAAAATTTGCGCCTTAGATTA